GACCGTGGAGATCCCGACAACCAACCGCCTGACCGAGGAGGTCCGGACAACCAACCGCCAGACCAAGGAGATCCCGACAACCAACCTCCAGACCGAGGAGATCCCGACAACCAACCGCCTGACCGAGGAGATCCCGACAACCAACCGCCTGACTGTGGAGATCCCGACAACCAATCTCCAGACCGAGGAGATCCCGACAACCAACCGCCAGACCTAGGAGATCCCGACAACCAAGCTCCAGACCGAGGAGATCCCGACAACCAACCGCCAGACCTAGGAGATCCCGACAACCAACCGCCTGACCGTGGAGATCCCGACAACCAACCGCCTGACCGAGGAGGTCCGGACAACCAACCGCCAGACCAAGGAGATCCCGACAACCAACCTCCAGACCGAGGAGATCCCGACAACCAACCGCCTGACCGAGGAGATCCCGACAACCAACCGCCTGACTGTGGAGATCCCGACAACCAATCTCCAGACCGAGGAGATCCCGACAACCAACCGCCAGACCTAGGAGATCCCGACAACCAAGCTCCAGACCGAGGAGATCCCGACAACCAACCGCCAGACCTAGGAGATCCCGACAACCAACCGCCTGACCGTGGAGATCCCGACAACCAACCGCCTGACCGAGGAGGTCCGGACAACCAACCGCCAGACCAAGGAGATCCCGACAACCAACCTCCAGACCGAGGAGATCCCGACAACCAACCGCCTGACCGAGGAGATCCCGACAACCAACCGCCTGACTGTGGAGATCCCGACAACCAATCTCCAGACCGAGGAGATCCCGACAACCAACCGCCAGACCTAGGAGATCCCGACAACCAAGCTCCAGACCGAGGAGATCCCGACAACCAACCGCCAGACCTAGGAGATCCCGACAACCAACCGCCTGACCGTGGAGATCCCGACAACCAACCGCCTGACCGAGGAGGTCCGGACAACCAACCGCCAGACCAAGGAGATCCCGACAACCAACCTCCAGACCGAGGAGATCCCGACAACCAACCGCCTGACCGAGGAGATCCCGACAACCAACCGCCTGACTGTGGAGATCCCGACAACCAATCTCCAGACCGAGGAGATCCCGACAACCAACCGCCAGACCTAGGAGATCCCGACAACCAAGCTCCAGACCGAGGAGATCCCGACAACCAACCGCCAGACCTAGGAGATCCCGACAACCAACCGCCTGACCGTGGAGATCCCGACAACCAACCGCCTGACCGAGGAGGTCCGGACAACCAACCGCCAGACCAAGGAGATCCCGACAACCAACCTCCAGACCGAGGAGATCCCGACAACCAACCGCCTGACTGAGGAGATCCCGACAACCAATCTCCAGACCGAGGAGATCCCGACAACCAACCGCCAGACCTAGGAGATCCCGACAACCAAGCTCCAGACCGAGGAGATCCCGACAACCAACCGCCAGACATAGGAGATCCCGACAACCAACCTCCAGACCGAGGAGATCTCGACAACCAACGTCCAGACCGAGGAGATCCCGACAACCAACCGCCTGACTGAGGAGATCCCGACAACCAACCGCCTGACCGAGGAGATCCCGACAACCAACCTCCAGACCGAGGAGATCCCGACAACCAACCGCCTGACCGTGGAGATCCCGACAACCAACCGCCTGACCGAGGAGGTCCGGACAACCAACCGCCAGACCAAGGAGATCCCGACAACCAACCTCCAGACCGAGGAGATCCCGACAACCAACCGCCTGACCGAGGAGATCCCGACAACCAACCGCCTGACTGTGGAGATCCCGACAACCAATCTCCAGACCGAGGAGATCCCGACAACCAACCGCCAGACCTAGGAGATCCCGACAACCAAGCTCCAGACCGAGGAGATCCCGACAACCAACCGCCAGACCTAGGAGATCCCGACAACCAACCGCCTGACCGTGGAGATCCCGACAACCAACCGCCTGACCGAGGAGGTCCGGACAACCAACCGCCAGACCAAGGAGATCCCGACAACCAACCTCCAGACCGAGGAGATCCCGACAACCAACCGCCTGACCGAGGAGATCCCGACAACCAACCGCCTGACTGTGGAGATCCCGACAACCAATCTCCAGACCGAGGAGATCCCGACAACCAACCGCCAGACCTAGGAGATCCCGACAACCAAGCTCCAGACCGAGGAGATCCCGACAACCAACCGCCAGACCTAGGAGATCCCGACAACCAAGCTCCAGACCGAGGAGATGAATGGATATTCCGAGGAGTTTCTTCAGATCGTCAGATTCGCGGAGTTCAATGACCAGTTTGGATGATTTACAGATTGTACAAAACATCGATTTACATTGTATCAGAATATCTGATTGTCTAAATTATAATTGCTGATTGAGAAACATTTCAACGAGAAATGAAGATCTCATTATATATTGTGATCAGACGGCGACATCTAGTGGCAAATCATAATAATGACAACCCACAGAAATCAGATGAGGATCATCGAACCACCAGACCGAGGAGATCCCAACAACCAACCGCCAGACCGAGGAGATCCCGACAACCAACCGCCAGACCAAGGAGATGCCGACTACCAACCGCCAGACCGAGGAGATCCCGACTAACAACCGCCTGACCGAGGAGATCCCGACTAACAACCGCCTGACCGAGGAGATCCCAACAACCAACCGCCTGACCGAGGAGATCCCGACAACCAACCGCCAGGCCGAGGCGATCCCGACAACCAACCACCTGACTGAGGAGATCCTGACAACCAACCGCCAGACCGAGGAGATCCCGACAACCAACCGCCAGACCAAGGAGATCCCAACAACCAACCACCAGACCGAGGCGATCCCGAAAACCAACCGCCAGACCGAGGAGATCCCCACTACCAACCGCCAGACCTAGGAGATCCCGACAACCAACCTCCAGACCGAGGAGATCCTGACAACCAACCGCCAGACCGAGTAGATCCTGACAACCAACCGCCAGACCTAGGAGATCCCGACAACCAAGCTCCAGACCAGGGAGATCCCGACAACCAACCGCCAGACCGAGGAGATCCCGACAACCAACCGCCAGACCGAGGAGATCCTGACAACCAACCGCCAGACCGAGTAGATCCTGACAACCAACCGCCAGACCTAGGAGATCCCGACAACCAAGCTCCAGACCAGGGAGATCCCGACAACCAACCGCCAGACCGAGGAGATCCCGACTTCCAACCACCAGACTGAGGAGATCCTGACAACCAACCGCCAGACCGAGGAGATCCCGACAACCAACCGCCAGACCAAGGAGATGCCGACTACCAACCGCCAGACCGAGGAGATCCCGACTAACAACCGCCTGACCGAGGAGATCCCGACTAACAACCGCCTGACCGAGGAGATCCCGACAACCAACCGCCAGACCTAGGAGATCCCGACTACCAACCGCCTGACCGAGGAGATCTCGACAACCAACCGCCAGACCTATGAGATCCCGATAACCAACCGCCTGACCGAGGAGATCCCGACAACCAACCGCCAGACCTAGGAGATCCCGACAACCAACCTCCAGACCGAGGAGATCCGGACAACCAACCGCCAGACCTAGGAGATCCCGACAACCAACCTCCAGACCGAGGAGATCCCGACAACCAACCGCCAGACCGAGGAGATCCCGACTAACAACCGCCTGACCGAGGAGAGCCCGACTAACAACCGCCTGACCGAGGAGATCCCGACAACCAACCGCCAGACCTAGGAGATCCCGACTACCAACCGCCTGACCGAGGAGATCTCGACAACCAACCGCCAGACCTATGAGATCCCGATAACCAACCGCCTGACCGAGGAGATCCCGACAACCAACCGCCAGACCTAGGAGATCCCGACAACCAACCTCCAGACCGAGGAGATCCGGACAACCAACCGCCAGACCTAGGAGATCCCGACAACCAACCTCCAGACCGAGGAGATCCCGACAACCAACCGCCAGACCGAGGAGATCCCAACAACCAACCTCCAGACCGAGGAGATCCCGACAACCAACCGCCAGACCTAGGAGATCCCAACAACCAACCTCCAGACCGAGGAGATCCCGACAACCAACGTCCAGACCGAGGAGATCCTGACTACAAACCGCCTAACCGAGGAAATCCCGACTACCAACCTCCAGACCGAGGAGATCCCGACTACCAACCTCCAGACCGAGGAGATCCCGACTACCAACCTCCAGACCGAGGAGATCCCGACAACCAACCGCCAGACCTAGTAGATCGCGACAACCAACCTCCAAACCGAGGAGATCCCGACAACCAACCTCCAGACCGAGGAGATCCCGACAACCAACCGCCAGACCTAGTAGATCGCGACAACGGTAGGCCATCCGGTCGTTGAGTCTACAACCAACGTCCAGACTGAGTAGATCCTGACTACCAACCTCCAGACCGAGGAGATCCCAACTACCAACCTCCAGACCGAGGAGATCCCGACAACCAACCTCCAGACCGAGGAGATCCCGACACCCAACGTCCAGACCGAGGAGATCCTGACTACAAACCGCCAGACCTAGGAGATCCTGACAACCAACCTCCAGACCGAGGAGATCCCGACAACCAACGTCCAGACCGAGGAGATCCTGACAACCAACCTCCAGACCGAGGAGATCCCGGCAACCAACCGCCAGACCGAGGAGATCCCGACAACCAACCTCCAGACCGAGGAGATCCTGGCAACCAACCGCCAGACCTAGGAGATCCCGACAACCAACCTCCAGACCGAGGAGATCCCGACAACCAACGTCCAGACCGAGGAGATCCTGACTACAAACCGCCAGACCGAGGAGATCCCGACAACCAACCGCTTGACCGAGGAAACCCCGACTACCAACCGCCTGACCGAGGAAATCCCGACTACCAACCTCCAGACCGAGGAGATCCCGACTACCAACCTCCAGACCGAGGAGATCCCAACTACCAACCTCCAGACCGAGGATATCCCGACTAATACTAATGGTAATAGATCGGGGACTTGCCTGGTACATTTCGGGGTTGTCCCGGGTGTGGAGGAGGAATCGGGTGTTGATCTTTTCGGGGCTCCAGGGTAGAGGGCGGATCTTCCCGGATTTGGTATTGTAGAAGCAGCCAAGATGGTTGTAGCAGATTTCGTCTCCTGGGGGGACACGTAGGTCTCACAATCACATCTAATATTTGGGGGGATTTCTGGTGTCAATAACAGTTCTACACAATGGAAGGAATCACACAAATTAGGAGCTGTGTGTAGCCCCGCCTCCCTAGCATGTCATGTGATGCTGAGGAGCATAGTGACCGGGTTACAGATAATAATCAATTCTCACCTTGTATTGTGTTCATCGATAAGCAGCAAGTGATCAGCATTGTAAGAAGCTCAGACAGCAACATATTGCAGATGGATGTGTCTGGATTTCTGAAAAGGAAATAAAACGTTTGTACATCCGGATAGAATTCTTCTTCTATAACTTGTATTATTCATCATTAAACCTGCCGAACAGTCACACCAACTACATATAGGAGAGCTCTCCACCTGCCGAGGGATTGGGAAGTCTGTTTGTGGTTATACAGGATCTATGGTGGGCTGTGCAGGATCTATGGTGGGCTGTGCGGGGTCTATGGTGGGCTGTGCAGGGTCTATGGTGGGCTGTGCGGGGTCTCTGGTGGGCTGTGCGGGATCTATGGTGGGCTGTGCGGGGTCTATGGTGGGCTGTGCAGGGTCTATGGTGGGCTGTGCAGGGTCTATGGTGGGCTGTGCGGGGTCTCTGGTGGGCTGTGCGGGATCTATGGTGGGCTGTGCAGGGTCTATGGTGGGCTGTGCAGGGTCTCTGGTGGGCTGTGCGGGATCTATGGTGGGCTGTGCAGGGTCTATGGTGGGCTGTGCAGGGTCTATGGTGGGCTGTGCAGGGTCTATGGTGGGCTGTGCGGGGTCTATGGTGGACTGAGCAGAACCCTGAGACCCGGCTTCCCTGCTACGCTACTAATGCAACCTGCCAAAATCAGGATTGAAGGACTGACGGGTGACATAAAATGTCTTATACAGGAAGGGGTGGGACCAGGGGTGGATTGTAAAAACGGCCCCCGCCGGCTCTGCTGCAGCGGCTGAGAGGGATGGTTGGCAGGATAGTTATGCTGAGCGGGACCTAAAGCCAAAAGACACCATGAGGCGGCTGAAGGCATCGCAGGCAACTTCACTGCCCCCCCTGCCCCCACCACCAGGAGAGGAAGAGAAGAGGGCACGGCACCTGAAGAAGGAAGTAAAAGTACCACTGTAAGTGACCTCTGCACTGCGTACACACTGACCTCCGACCTCTACATTACACCGCTGGCCTCTGCACCGCGTACACACTGACCTCCGACCTCTACATTACACCGCTGGCCTCTGCACTGTGCATTGCAGTACAGAGGGCAGCGGTAGGACGCACATTGCAGAGGTGAGCGGTAGGACGCACAGTGCAGAGGTGAGCGGTAGGACGCACAGTGCAGAGGTGAGCGGTGTGACGCACAGTGCAGAGGTGAGAGGTGTGACGCACAGTGCAGAGGTGAGAGGTGTGACGCACAGTGCAGAGGTGAGCGGTGTGGTGTGACGCACAGTGCAGAGGTGAGAGGTGTGACGCACAGTGCAGAGATGAGCGGTGTGACGCACAGTGCAGAGATGAGCGGTGTGACGCACAGTGCAGAGGGGAGCGATGTGACGCACAGTGCAGAGATGAGCGGTGTGACGCACAGTGCAGAGATGAGCGGTGTGACGCACAGTGCAGAGGGGAGCGATGTGACGCACAGTGCAGAGGTGAGCAGTTGGACGCACAGTGCAGAGATGAGCGGTGTGACGCACAGTGCAGAGATGAGCGGTGTGATGCGCAGAGATGAGCGGTGTGACGCACAGTGCAGAGATGAGCGGTGTGATGCGCAGAGGTGAGCGGTGTGACGCACCGTGCAGAGGTGAGCGGTAGGACGCACAGTGCAGAGGTGAGCGGTGTGATGCGCAGAGGTGAGCGGTGTGACGCACAGTGCAGAGGTGAGCGGTGTGACGCACAGTGCAGAGGTGAG